ATCTTAATAAAAAATAAAATATTATCGTCAAAATGTTTATGTTATTATTAAGATGAAAGACCAATCTTTTCTAAAACGTTTGAAATTTTAGTTAAAATCTTGTTTTGTTTACATCATCACAGTGACATAAAAATAATTTCCACTGAAAACACATTAATTGGAAATTCTGGTAAAAATTAGATAATTGTCTGATTTTAATGAAATTTTCAGAACTAATTCACAAATGAATGAGATTATTTTTGAATTTTTTTTTTTATATATGTTAACTTAGTTAATTTAATGAAATTTCACAAAAAACTTTCTATTTCCTCAATTTTTTTATTTGTTAAAAGTAGGACTCCTTGGAGAATCTAAATTGGCTAATCTTTTTTTTTTTTCAAACTTGCACTATTCTAACTGAAAATCTGCTTTGAATTGAAAAATAATGAATGCAATAAAACTATGACATTTAATTAGAAAAGCTTTTAGTTGCTTCTGTAAATAAGTCATATTAAGGACATTATTGTCTGAAGAAATAAAATTTTTCTGATGAATAATGAATTTTCAAGAATTTTTTTTTCATTTTTTTTGTAAATTTTAAAAATAATAATTTATAATAGTTTAAAATTGTGTAAAATTCTCTATTGGACTATTTGTTTCCTATTTTCATCTATGGAAGTCAAAACGTGACATCATTATGAAACAGTCACATGATCTAAGAGTTTTGTCTCTTTACAGAAAAATTCATTTAAGAAAATTTTATAGTATTTTAAATTTTTTTTTTTATTATTTTTGCATAAAGCATCTTCAAAAGGTAAATAAAAGTCAAACTATCAGACAATTACGAAAAATATGTTCATTTGTAAAAATGACTAGGTAGTTAAAAATAAAAAAATGTGTTCACTTTGACTTCTTAAATTTTGTATTGATTCTAGCTAGCCATAGTAGCTGTCATCACTTCGTCACTCATTGGCCATCTATTATCTCCTCAGATAAACTATGATAAACAGGACCAATCATTAAATAAATGGTTGTATATTACTTTTTTATGCTATTAGTAAGTAATATTTATTTCAAATCAGATTAACTTTAAATTTTCTAATTTTACTCAAATAACATGTCAGAAATATGTATTTTTTGAAAGAATTTTAAAATCGATAATTTTTTTGTTTACAAATTTCTTAAAATTAAGAAAATGGCCACTTTTAAGAAAATTTTAAGAAATTGAAATTAAATTTGACATTCCAATCTATATAATTCCTATCTGAAATACACCAGAATATTTTACTTACTGGAAATAATAAATTTAATCACTTAGCTTTCGATTAAAGCTAAAATGAAATCTTCAAGAATGTTTTCTTCATTTTTAAAAATTCATTTTAAACTTTAGGCATCGAAAATTTATGCAAAAATAGTGGAATAACTAATCTACAATAAATAAGATGCAAAATAGACTGCTAGGGTGAAAAGTCGAGTCGGGGAGTGCAATTGGGTAAGCCGAATGGTAAATATATTTAGCTTAAAGAATAAGAAACAGCTTATGAAAGGGGAAAATAAGAAAGAGAAAATACAGATGAAATCCTTTAAATTTGACTGAACTTTTTCTTTTATAAAAAAAAAGCTCATATCATATATAAATTTGGGAGTGGGAGCTACTTTTCATATACAAACTAAAATTAATTTTTAACACTAAGATGTAACGTTACTTTGCTAGTTTATTGAAGCTTTATTATTGTTCCAGAAAATAATTATCTAATTTTCAAAGATTTACATTTATTTTTCAGTTACATCTTAATATTTTCTTTAAAGATTTCCCAATCAACATTTTTTATTAACATACCAATGACTTACATGATACACAAGTTCAAAACATTGATTTTTAAATTTTCTCAATATGAAAGAATTGAAAAGAAAACTTTCTATAAATATCAGCAATAAACCCAGGATATAATTACTAAATATTCAGCAGGAGTAACAATTGTTTTTAAACATCAAACATTAATATTACTGAGCTTTAATAAAAGATCTTACATATGTGTACACACATTATGTTGGTTTTAGTAAGAGAGGCTTGATATTAAATATGCAATAAAAATCAAGGTTGTTCTTTTTCTTTTTAAACAATATTCTTTTTAAATCAAAGTTATAATGGTTTTTATATAGTTTCTGAAATCAAGACAAAAAGCTTGGCAAGTGACATCAAAATCAAGAGAGTTGACGACATAAAATGTTAAAATATGTGCAAGAGTGAACAAAAGATAATGGTTGATTGGATAAAAAAGTAAGTGTGAAACACCACTGGTAAGTTTAAAGATTTGCTATATTCCATTTAATAGGCTTCTAGAGCAGCAAAATCTGAAATGCCAAGCCAGCAAATTTTGCTATAGTACTGAACCACATAAATTTTATGAATCCTTTAGAAATAGCATACGGTAAATAAAACAAAAAGGGAATATTCTTATATGAATAGTATGTAATGATACTCATGAAACTAAAGGATACAAGTTCTATAGATAAAGGCTACTTAATGAAAATGTGATAGAAATGTTGAGTGATATATAAACAGGACATAATATAGAAAAATTACTGTAAATTAAGTATTCATAAAAAAGAAATTGTCAAAGGAGGCATAAAGTAATATTTGAAAAGTATATGATATACAAACTCAAAAACAATATTTTAATATTATAGATTAATGATTAATGTACCAGTTTAGTAGTTCAAATTTAAACCAGATTCAGTGATTAGTATCCTCAGGAAAATTTAGATATAAGATCAGTAATTTAAAAGCAGTGACATTATAAACATTATATATTAAAATGTAATGTTACAAAGGAAAATACAATAGAAGATCTATAAAGACAATGTTAGATTATTTATTAAGTCAATTTCTAATGTAAATACAATGTAAATATAATAACTACATAATGCTACATTTTAAACCTATGACTTAAGGATGGAATCAACCATAAAATTAGCAGAGAAATTAAACAAATGTTAGCATGATGATATTCAATGTCTATGTGGAAATAGACATTGAATATCAAGAGTAGCTGAAAATCATTTACTTATTAAATATTAAATTGTTCAGGTGAACAAATACTTAAAAATAACTTCGACATAGACAAAATATCAATCTTTATAACACCACCACCACCACCATTGCTGTAACCAAAAAGACATCAAAATAGACAGTAATAACAATATCAACAATGTGCAACTATACTACAACATGCAACATCAGATATCTACTCAGGTTGCCAGCTGAATGGAATAAAAGAAAGAATAAAAAAATAAAAAAAAAAATGTCCTTTCTATCCACAATGCCTGTGACATTACTGCAATCCACTGTACTGAGAAATAAATTAATAATTTAAAATTAATTTAGAATTAAATTTAGAATTATTTGCATCATTTTGAGATCTATAAATTGTGAAATGTTTGTTTTAGAATATGACAAAGAATTCTTTTTTTTAAATTTCAACTAGCAACATGTCGAAGTTTTCTGTTAAAAAGCTTTGACAATGAATTTTGATATCATCCTAGTGCTTGTTTTGTTTTCTATTTTCACAATATTAGTAGTTACCAATTATTATTCTGATAGTATGTGGTGAATGATCTGTTTTATGCATGCTGTGTGTATCAGTTAATTGTAGAAAATAGTTTTATGTGCATTCTTAAAATTATATGCAGCTGCAAAACATTCCATTTTCAGCTATCATATTCATACAGCTTGTAAAATCAAGATCATTAACCATCACTATGACCTGAAGATTCAAGAACATCACAGTGAAAACTTTAGCCATAAAATCAAAAAAGAACAAAGATATTAATTTGAATAAAGTTACAGACATTGTACATTGATATTTCAGTAGGGAAAAGATTAGTGTTTTATGCTGTACAGATTTTTAAATTCAGAATGGGGATAAAGGACTTGAAATTTAGGCACCTGAAGTAAATGAATACATTATGTCAGATTTACAATGTTTTCTTATAAATGTAGTAGGCATCCATCAGTCTCAGGAGACTATGGAGCCTACTACTGAGGCTAGCTAATCTCTGTTGCAGACACCTGCTCAGGCACATTTGTGTTTCTTTAACACCTAAACACAACCTATGGTTTATACTGCAACTATTTTGAGCAGACCTGAGAGATAGCACATAATCTGCTATGATTAGTAGTTAAATAAGACCAGTATGCTCAAACTGTCAAGCATGATGACATGCAACTCTATTCTAACACAACCATGAACAGCTTCAGAACAGTTGCATGTACCCAGTTTCACTCCCAAGGCTTGGGTTAACCTGCAGCATGGTTTTCAAGTGTTTACTAACAGTGACACATACTGGGATCATTTTCCCCAGGCTGATATTATCAAAACGTCACTTGAGATTTGAACACAGAACATTAGAATAGAAGGTAAAAAAATAAATCTTCTAGAATTGAGCTAAAGTTTAATGGTCCTCATTTTAAGTGGTTAAAATGATACAGGACTTAACCACTTAAAGCAAAAGTCATTTAAAATAGGAAAGAAATATCTATTTGGGGGTCATGGATAAATGACAACAGAAAATGACTTTCAAGTTGTCATGAAATAATTGAATATTATAGGATTGCTTAAAAATAAAGAAAAAATGTATAAAATGGAGACCAGTTTCTTACAATACAAATCATGCGTGGAGAGAAAAAAAAAGCTGAACATTATATAAGACAGAAAGCTTAAGGACTTAAAATTATTCACAAAACACAGACAACACTGAATATCACTTAATGTAGAAAATTATTTAAAAAAAAAAAAAAGACATCAAGGTTATCTGTTTATTTTTTTCTCTTTAAATTTTTCATTTCAAATTTAGAATGAAGCAATAATATACAACACAAAGCAGTTTAAGAATTTATAAAAATTTTGACAGATAATTCCAAAAAGCTGGCAACCTGAAATTGACATTTTTTCTTCTTAAGGAGATTCACATATAAATGAAAAATATGAAGGAAGAAGTGACAAAAAGGTGAAACAAACCTGGAGACAGTCCTGGGGAGACTTGAAGATTTAAAAAAAAAAAAAAGAAAGAAAGAAAGAAAAAGAAACAACAGAAAATGTTTTACTGAACTTTATAAATATTTAAAGAAAAAGCATCAGCAAGCAGAACACAGACTAATACATAACAAATACACTCAAGAATGTTCTCTTCTTTTTTAAGATTAAAAGGATATATTCTTAAGATTTTAAGTCAATGAAATACTATATATCAATTACATTAAGAAATGATAAATTAACCACAGCTAGAATTTGGACCTATGCACAAACAAGTACATTTAGACCACATTTTGATATTTTAACTAGATTCAGCAATACATAAGATACTAATCTTAGATCACATCAATGTTAAGGGTATTATAAAACTACTAATAAAATAAGTGACCATTTGGGGGTGGGGAGACAAAAGATATTTCAGTGATGAAATTTGCATATTTTTTAAACTACAAAATCTCATTTTCTAACATTATCAAGGGATGAAAATGAAAGATTAATGATATGCAAGTATCATGGTAAAAGATCCAAATCCTATCAGATAATTTACATTTGTTAATATATTTGACCTATAATTACATTTAAATGTACAGATGTCACATGATCAAATAAAGGAAAATAATAAATTGAAAAAAATAAATAATGATAAAATTATAAAGAAGCAAATGAACACTTTCAATGAATGAAACAAAAAATATGGAAGAAAATTATTAGGTGAATTATTAACTTGCATGTTAATCATACTTCAGAGAAACAATGCACTTAAGAGAAATAAATATAGATTTTAATAAATAAAAAGTATTTATATCAAAGCTTAATTCATATGGATTTATTTGTAGCAGTAGTAATAAAAACTACAAATTAAGAGTACATTTTAGAGATATAAATACATTTTTTTTTCTTGTAATTTTTTTCTGATCTTGAAGAGATCTATTTATCAATGTTTTTATGTTGCCTTCTAAATGGAATTTAGTAGTTGAATTTTTAGTGCCCAATGAAAAATAAAAATTAGCATTGTTATAATGAAAAAAGCATGTTCATTTCATTTATACAAAATTTTTGTTGGTTCACCATTTAATTTCTCATTATAAAAATTAAACAAAAACTCATACAAGCAAATTAATTTTTGATTACTTAATTAGTTTTTTTATATAAGACTCATAATGTTAGACATTTCAGATATCCTAGGCTCATTTTTTTTTGTTAATATTTTTAATTACATTTTTTTTTTACCTTTCAAATTAAATAAGAGAGATTCAAAAGAAAACTGTAGCTTGAGATGAGAGGCTACCTTTGATAGCCTGCCATGACAGTTTGCTTTGTTATATCTGCATGTTTCTGCCATCTTGTTCACAAAGTCAATGGCAGCTAAATGGAGTTCTTATCTCTAATCGAATGCCTTCATTCCTACTTAGCCATAGTTAGACTAATTTTTAAGTTGCCCAAGGTTCTTACATGAAAGTCTCATCTGAAGATATTTTTGTTCTGATTTAGACCAATTTAATTTGAAAGCCAAAGACTATAATCTGCCAAAAAAAAAAAAATGGTGATTAAAAAAAAAAAAAAAAAAAAAAAAAGCAGCATATCAGATTCTAATCAAAGAAATGTGTGAAATGATACTCGGAAATTTTAACTCATTGACAAAATGCTCAAAAATAAAATTAATAAAAGGGAGAAAAAAATTTTTTTTTTTTTTTTTTAAAGATTATCTTCTTACACTAGTCTTTGAAAATATCTGATAAAACAAAGTCATTAAATGGTGAACAAGTGACATCAAATGAACATAGAATTTCAATAAACTCTTTACAAGTTACTTAAATTTAGAGAATTGCTGCTTCATTAATCTTTAATAGAGATTTTTTTCCTTTCTTTTAAACATCCTAAGTAGAAAAGTTTAGTTAATATTATATGAAAAGTTTCCTAATTACCAAAAGAAGTTATTTGAGAGAGAGAGAGAGAGAGAGAGAGACTAAGTTATAGTAAAAAGAATATTTATTGTTCTCTATGAGATCTGAAAGCAAACTATATATCTAATGGTTTATTCATTTGACTTCATTGAGTGATCCATCTCCTTTTCTTCTACAAATTTGATATGGAAAATAGAAACAGGCAGAGGAAAACAGGAATAATTGTCTTGGTTTTCATTAAAAGAGGCATTTCCCAAACTACATGTGCTGCCTTTGTGAATTGGAAGGTACACAAAGCATTCTCAACACTCAAAGAGGAAGACATTTCTCTTATACTAGCATCACTGACCATATTCAAGTGAAGGAGGGTTAGAAGAAAAAGAAGAAAAAAGCTGCTGTTTAATTTTTTTGTTTTGTGAACTATAGGGAGAGAAAAAATTGGGGAGCAGATTCCACATATTAGCCATTCATTGAAAGGTTAAGCAATGATACATCATTCTAGAAACAAATACAACATCAATCCAAACATGGAAGAAATGATTTATTATTCTTATCATGTACAACATTTAAGATATTTTTTACACAAAGGTCTTCAAATCTTATTTCAAATGTGAACAGGAATAATTATGGTAACTTATAGAAACACAAAAAATGATATAGAAAACAAACAGAAAAGGATGGAAAATTTATAAAAAAAATAAAAACAATCAGGATTACAGGAAATCCTAAGCATTTATGCAAATCCAATTAATGAAAATTGTGATGGCAGACAGAAAATATGAAAGATAGAATATATTTCAGAGGCCCTAGACACCTGGGAGTGGGTAATATAGATCAAGTAAAATATAAAGGAATAATAACACCATGCCACCTCCAAAATTAACACATTAAAAAAGAATTAATAATCATGATACCAATGTTTAGAGCAAAAAAATACAATGTCTGAAAGTCAAGCAAATATAGGGAGAATGTAAAATAGAATTGTTTTAATAGTTGAACAAAAAAAAAAAAAAAAAGTGAAGATCATATTATTCTCATTAATAAAGGAGTTGGTCAAAAACTCAACTAACCACAGGGACAGATTTAACCAAATCCAAATGAATCAATCATGTTAAATTAGAAATATTTTAAGGTTTTCGAATTCTCCCAACATAAAGAAAAAAATCTTATAAAAAAAAATTGGATCAAAAGTTACATTAAGACAAAATAGTTAATATTAGTAACTATAATTATCTTAAGTAGAATGTCATTTTGTTTTGATGTTGTAATAAAAAATATATCTGTATTAAAAACATCTGAGGACCCCCCAGAATAATTTTCAAATTATTTATTCAGATTCATCTTTTAAGTTCATTTTCAGTTTTACATTACTTTTACTATGGCTCTCTTGTAAACCAAATTACAAACAATTATCAATAATGTCCTAAACTGTAAACTCCAACAAATTTGATTCTCACAAAATAAATCATTTGTTTATCATGATTTAAAAAAAAGTTAAAGTGTAAGAGACAAAATAAAAACAGTTGCAAAAAACGTTTAGAAGAAATCTTACAAAACTGTAAAATCTCATTAAATCTTTCTAACACGTAAAGTTAAGAAAATTCTAATTGTGAAAATTAAATGCTATTAATAGCAGATGCAAAAAGAGATACTTTTGAGGAGAAAAATAACATTTTAAAACATAAAACTTTTATGAAATTAAAAGAATTTCATCAAAATAATTTTAAAAAGTTGTAACCAATTACAAAGAGATTTTTCAAAAGAAAGTAGAAAGCGAAGTTGATCAGAACTAATTATTTTATAACCTCCTCTCTGGTGTTTATTAATAATTAAGCAACATTAAAGTTTTGCAAAAATTTATATCCTTTTCCCATCAGTTTCAACAAAAAATGTTATAATTAATTTAACAGCAATCAATAAAGTTAATTTGGAGTCTATACTAGAACAATTTTAAAATTTATAAACCTATATGTGAGATTCAGTATTAATAATGTGTGTACAAAGTTAAAAGCAACAAAATTCAATTACATAGAAATGATTTTTACAAGGAATATATAGATATTATAATGTAATTTGTCCGACAAAAACTTTGATACTTCATCTTTGGCTAAAAACATGAAAGTGACAAATTGATTTAATATGTCAACCAATAACATCCATGAAAGTTTATATCATTTTAGTTTTATGTAAGTCCTTACTAGATACAAATTCATCCTTAATATTAACTAGGTGAAACTATTCAGCTATTTCTTTTGACTTTCAGATGATTTAACTCAAAATCCAGATGTTATTAAATAATAAATTCTTTTCTTGTACAAACTTATGACATTAATTCTATACAGTAGCAGCTATATAAAGAGGAAAAATTACAACTTTGTTCTATTTTATTTAATGGCAATGGTAACACTAGTCATATGGAAACATTGACTCAGCAGCCAGTGCTAATTTTAGTTGAAATTCATGAAATCTTTCTATTAAAACAATTCTTCAGGAAAATAGGCTTTTCAAGTCCATAAGTATTATTGCTTTTCCCAATGTTGGTGGGGCTTTCTTCCTAACCTTTTGTTTGATGTAGTGTGGAACACTAACATCTTGATTATATCATTTTCTTTTTGAGCTATCCATTTTAGTTATTGCAGCTATTGAAAGTCCTCAAGTTATGTGGTTTCTGTTATTTGCTACAATTCTTTTCTTTTTTTGTGATTCTGTAACACCAATCCACAAAGTTTGAAGAAGGATGGTCCTCTTTGAGACCTATATGCTTCACTTGCTCAGAAACATTTTTAACCAGATCTCAGAAAGTGGCTGTATACAGTTAACAATTTAGATATTTCTCAACAATTCTGACACCATGCATGACATCCATATGAAAGTCTCGATCTGACAAGACTATTTAAGAATGAATGTCATGGTTTTAGGTTAATGCTTTGGTTTTGTAGCAACTTGTAGTGTTGGGTCAAACCCAACCCTAGCACTATATACTATTTCATATTCAGTTTATCTTCTATATCTTATCTTCTATACTAAATTTGTTATAACTGATCCATACAATAATAATTCCACATATATGAATTTTATTTTGAAGACAAGACATCTTATTTA